AAAAGATGCATTATGCAGTGTAATTATAGCAGCAAAACACAGACCATCAGGTTCAGATGTACAATTGGCCTTGCTTTAACCCACTCCTTGAGTTCATGATAGGGAAGTTTTGGATGTGAATTTACCTTATAATGAAGGCTTTTTGGTATTTCAGTGACTAACACCTTTTAGACAGGGTCCATGGTGATCAATTCATATTGATTTTGCTGACTAAATAGTACTTGAGCAAAGTTCCAGTGGCATCTAAAAATAAGCTCTTTCACTGTCCTTACATGTCTTAAATATCATTATAGTATTTATTTTGTTCAAATCTTGGCAGTCACCTCAAATTTCCAGAATTCCTGTGTAAATCATTCTAAGTAATTCAGTAAATTTGTGAACCTACTTCCTAATACCTTGTAAACCTGCATTTCACATTTCTACTGGGCTGCTTGTAATCAATAGCTCTTTCTTCACTGCTTCCCAACTTGTTCTAATTTGTTTCCTTTGGGAGAGGTAGATTTTAAGAGCTCAGGATTACATGCTTTTTTTTTTCATGCGATTTAGAGCTCCTCCTTGTTTAGTAGCAGTTCTACGTCTTTCTCTAGTCCCATTTTCTCTTGAAGCAGCCATAAAAGTACCATCTGGTTTTTAGCATCATTCTATTTCTGCTTTCTCCTCCCTGCACTTTTCTCTTCTCTGAATGCTTTATGCGATAACAATTTATTCTTGATTTATTATCCACCTGCTTTCACAGCCTTCCCCTTTCTGCTCCTCCTCCACCCCTTTCCCACCCTGAATGGAGTGGTATACCATAGTTCTTAAGGACACAGCTCTGGAATCAAGTAAGGACCAACTCAACCACTTATGCATGTTGGGCTTTAGTGACTTGACCACTACAAGCCTCAATTTCTTCGTTTATAAGAAAGAGAAGGTTATGGTACCATCTACTGCACAGGGTTTCTTGAAGAATTAAATAAAATAATATACATCAGGGTTTCTCAGCCTTGGCACTATTGACGTTTGGGGCTGAGTCATTCTTTGTTCTTAAGGCTGTCCTAGACATTGCAGGATGTTTAGCAGCAACCCTGGCCTCTGCCACTAGATCCTCATAGCAACTCTCTTCCCAGTTATAACAATGAAAAATGTCTCCAGACATTGCTAAATATCCCAGGGAGGCAAAATTGTCCCCGTTCAGAACCACTGACGTATAGAAACATTTAGCACAGTGCCTGGTACATAGTGGGGACTTGATTAATAATCTTGATGAATGGATGGTCAGATGAATGATTGAATATTCATTTTTAATACAAGTGTCTAATATAATTCTTGACAGTCAATTAACCACTTAATACATAAATGGATAAACAAATGAACATGAAGCCAGTGAGTTTCAAGGTCTGTCCATAGTTTCTACCTTATACTAAAATGTCGTATCTTCACTAAACACAAGCTTCCTATGTTTCAAAAAATACTTTAGACAATTAACTAACTGCACAGCTTAAACTACTCCCCCAATGTAATATACATGCATATACTTTAAAGAATAGGGAGATTTGAAAATAAACTCTAATGGATGATAGCTATAACAATTATATTGTAGTAGAATTCATTGCTAAAACTTGAAGTGACCTTTTGATTAACCTGAGTATTTCAGGTTGATATTCCAGTGAATAAGCCATTGATGTGGTAAGAGAACAAAGCTCAGGCAACTTTTAAGTATTTGTTAATCTCAGTTATCTTGTGTAAATATTTTTGAGTGCCTACTGTGTTTCAGGCACCATTCTGGGTACTTAGGATACATTCGTGAACAAAACAATGATCCAACCCTGTGGAACCTCCATTCTATGAAGTAATGATCACAAAAATAATAAGTACATATATAGAAATAAAAATATAGATTACTCACAACTTCTAAAATATTAGCATGGGAAATACTCTAGGTGGCACTGACAGCAAAATTCTAGTGGATGACTGTAACTGAACCAGAAACACTTTTGTGACTGCATTCACTGTTTGCCATTTGGTTGCTCATCTGTGTTTTCAGTTTACTGAACTCTAACTTTCTTGTCTGATCTGAATTACAATGAAGGTATTAAATCAAATCTGTGGCTACCTTTGCATGTTTTAGAACTGCAAACATTTAGATTATGATTCACTGTGTGCATAATTTTTTAATTGTCTCAAATCAACAGTCTTACTCTTACTTTTCTAGGTTTTCCTCTAATGAACTACCTTTATAGCATACTTTTTGTGCTGTAGTCTAACAAACCCATAGCTGATTTTTTAAGAAAATTATACAATATATGCTTTTTGTGCCTCACTTTTTTCACCTGTAAAATGGGATCTGTGAGATACCTAACACATAAAGTTGTTATAAGGATTAAATAAGGTAATGTTTATTTAAAAATAAAAAACAAAAAACTTAGAACTAAAGAAAATGCCAAGCACATAATAATTATTAAGTGTAGTATTTTCTGCACTCCTACTGGCCATGTACTTTTTTCTAGTATTTCCAGTATTTTAACTTAGTAAATTAGGTAGTATATCTTTTTCTTTTCTTTCTATACTTGGGAGAAAGAAAGCAGGATTACAAGGAAATAAAAGCAAAATATATAACCGTCAGGGCCATATAAGTAATGTCTCTTTGTAAACCACTAGTCTCAGGAGTAAATCCCTCCACATGATGAAAACCAAGAGATGTGTTTGCATATAACTCTTTTTATAAAGATTTTTTTAATTGCAAAGACACAGTCATTTTTATAAAATTCCAACACACTAAAATTAATAATTTGGAAAGTGAAAAGCCCCTTTATGCATATATTAACTCCAGCTCACTACCTTTAGAGATAATTAATGGTAATAATCAGCGTATAGTCTCACTTTTTTCTTTTTTGAGACGGAGTCTTGCTCTGTCACCAGGCTGGAGTGCAGTGGCGGGATCTCAGCTCACTGCAGCCTCTGCCTCCTGGGTTCAAGTGATTCTCATGCGTCACCCTCCTGAGTGGCTGGGATTACAGGCACCCACCACCACACCCAGCTAATTTTTGTATTTTTAGTAGAGACAAGATTTCACCATGTTGTCCAGGATGATCTCAATCTCCTGACCTCGTGATTCACTTGCCTCAGCCTCCCAAAATGCTGGGATTACAGGCATGAGACACTGTACCCAGCATAGTCTCAAAATTTTTTCCTGGTCATTTACTAGTATATATTTCTATTAAAACAAAATCACATTGCACATAGTTTTGCAACTGGCCTTTATTCACTTCGAATATGTCTTTGGTGTCTGTTTTGCCACATTTAGTTCCTTCTTGTTTCCAACAGCTGTTAAGAGTGGTAACTCTCTGGGTCTCTGGGTACTTACCCACAAAAGCACATGCATTAGAGCTGGTTGAAAAAGTCCTTCAGGGCGGGTACCAGTGGCTTACACCTGTAATCTCAACTTTTTGGAGGCCAAAGCTGGCAGACAATGTGAGCTCAGAAGTTCAAGACCAGTTTGGGCAACATGGCAAAACCCCATCTCTACAAAAAATACAAAAATTAGTCAGGCATGTTAGTGCATGCCTGTAGTCCCAGCTCCTTAGGAGGCTGAGGTGGGATACAGAGGTTGCAGTGAGTGGAGCTCGTGCCACTGCACTGCAGCCTGGGTAACAGAGTGAGACCCTGTCAAGGGATGGATGGATGGATGGGTGGAAGGAAGGAAGGAAAGAAGGAAGGAAGGAGGAAGGAGGGCGGGAGGGAGGGAGGAAGGAAGAGAGGAAGGCAGGGAGGAAAAAGTCCTTCAGCTGAAACTTGCAATGCCAACAACTGACCCCTCTCTCTTTCTCAAAGCACTAACCCAACAAGGGGCACGAGCAGAGAGGCTCAGAAGGTCTTCTCAGTCCACACCAAGAAACCAGACCTTTCTCAGTGCAGGGAGAAGGATGAACTGAATGAGGAATACTCACTCATATGGCAGTTAATCCAGAGGATGACAGAAACATTACAAATGTGACACCATTGAAATGGAACTCCTCTTTGGAGTGTGGAAGCCCAGTCTTACACAACTCACTTGAAGCAGAAAGGAAATTGTATTTGAGGATGTTAAGGTCAAGCTAACTTTTATTAAAATTGCCACAGGAGGTCATTCATCCCTACTTCATTTATACACTTCAAAACCTACTTCCCACCACTCAGATACTTACTTGTGGAGTGATTAAGTTCTCTATCTTTTCTATGCTTTCATTAGATGCTCTTTTTCTCTTTTTTGCTTGTAAAAAGGAAGATTTTTTTAAGTCAAGTGTCAATATGCCAAACATTAAGTATCCACTCCCTTGCAATGCAGTGTTTATATTTACAAACCCTATTATAACAAATATAATATTACTTAATTATGCAGCAAACTTACAAATAATTGGCGAATCAGGTGTAAGAAATACTCTGTACAGGAAGAATATTCAGCTTAGTTGAGGCCTTTGTTAAACAATATGCAAAAGTTGCAGGTGCCATGCTAGGGAATTTTTGGGATAAAGGAAATGTAAACTTATTTGGCAGGAAAACTAGAGGCATGATTATACCTTGTAGTACTTTCACGGCTGGACAGATTTAGATGCCTCTGTCACATCACCCAGAAGCTGTAGTGTTAAAGGCTGAGGCAGGAGCTCCTTTTGCCACAGGAAAAAGGATGAAACCAGAGACATTGTGAAACGTTGCCCCAGAGTTTTAAGGCTCTCTGAAACCTTGGGTTTTTTTAATGCTATTGTCCAATCTGTTGAAGGTTAATTAATATGTGGTTCAAAATTGCATAGGGAAAGCACAGAATGGCCAAAGGGTCAAAACTACAGCAATAGGTAGGTCCTGTTCTCTGCCTTTTCACTCCTAAGTCTTCACAGAGGCCAAGTGGCACTAGGTGTGGCTGGGGATCAGGATCTGCATATTTGTGCCTTAAATAGGTCAAAGCGAATTTTTGGAAATATTGTTTTGGTAAATAAAAATTCCTGGTCATGCTAATTATGGCTGTTTCAACCTGTCTCTTTCAGATACCATTGTTCTTATTGCTTCAATAGCAGTTGTGTCTGCAAAAACTCAGGGTAATATTTTTGCCACGTCTGCACTCAGAAGTCTCCGTTTCCTACAGATCCTCCGCATGGTGCGCATGGACCGAAGGGGAGGCACTTGGAAATTACTGGGTTCGGTGGTTTATGCTCACAGCAAGGTAAGATTTGCTTTCTGAGTTCAGAAACAAAATTTTTGACACCTTTTCGTTGATTGCTGTAATATTTAATAAACCTATCACAAGCAAACTTAGTCATTGCAGAAATTGGTTAAAACAATTTTGGGACATGATGTGCAATGTACTGTGTAAAAGCCATCATAAACATCCAAGAATTAGTAAAGTGGATAGAATCATCATAGAATTCTTTTTTCCTTTTTCAAAGATTTTCCACCTCTAAAAAATCTTTCGTTCCTTTTATGTCTAGGAATTAATCACAGCTTGGTACATAGGATTTTTGGTTCTTATTTTTTCATCTTTCCTTGTCTATCTGGTGGAAAAGGATGCCAATAAAGAGTTTTCTACATATGCAGATGCTCTCTGGTGGGGCACAGTAAGTATAAAAATATGTTTTTATTTATTGGATGTTGTGAAATGGTTTTTTTTTAATACAATGTAATGGTTCCTATGGAGGGTCTCAATAAAAATATCAACTTGCAAAAGAGAGTTATGTGGAAAATATACTACTTATAATTGTCTAAAGGCTTTCCACATCTTTTTGGGCCAACTATGGTCTCTTGTAAACCATCATTAATATTTCTTGAGTACTAGCTTGTTGCCAAAATAAAAATATATAAATATATATTATTTTTTGAATTGTGATTAAAACATTGATAGGTTGCTTATTTGTTTTAACTTTATGGAGCACAAATTGAAATTATCAATTGTTATATTGATTTTTCACTCTTCAAAAGTTTATCTGGGTTTAAAAAATGAACGGAAGCTCTGAATAAAATTGCAGCAATGAAAAAGAAGACTGGTAACCATCTGTGAGATCAGAGATTATAGACATCTAATTTCAGAACTTTCCTCTCAAAACCTGCTTTTTCTTTATATTGTTATTAAAGAATAATTTTCCAAAAAAATAAAGTAAAATCATGATTCTCACATAAATAGAAAGTTAACACATGCTAAACATTTTATTTAACTCATTTTTAAAATTTAAGTCATTAATAATGAAGAAACCAGTGAGATGTTAAAACTAGTTCAAAGCACTATCAAAAGAACAGGAACATTTAAAGATCAGGAATATTGAAATCAATGTGCAAATAGAGGCAAAACTGGCTCCTTCCACAGTGTGGGAGGGAAGTCAGTTAAACCTCCACTAGGCAGAATTTATTTACATGTCCATAGGCAAGAATTATTTTGCATTGCTACCAGTTATCAACAACTTACAGAGCTGTAAAATAGCTAAAAGGCTATGAAAAGAGCAGAGCCCCGAGAAATCAGAATCCAAAACCCTGGAAGGGCGTACTCTGAACAACGCATAGTTTTCCACTGAAGCAAAAATTTTCCCTGCATTGTAAAGAATTTATAAAACAGTCATTGGAACTTGTGCCCTAATAAGAATGTCACCGGATATAGGAGTGCTATATACAATGTATAAATTACATTTATTTTTATTTTATTCCTTTAAGGTATTCCAAAGGGGAGTTATATGAAAATAATTATAACCAAGCATGGTGGCTTATGCCTATAATCCCAGAACTTTGGGAGGCCAAGGCAGGAGGATTGCTTGGGCTCAGGAGTTTGAGACCAGCCTGGGCAACATAGCAAGACCCCATCTCTAAAAAAATAATAATAATAATACAAAAATTAGCCAGGTGGGAGGATCACTTGAGCCTGGGAGGTAGATTATAAATGCTTGTCTACAGAATGTCCATATCTTTTTGGTCCAAACCCCTTAAGCTCTCTTTTATACCACCCTTAGTATTTCTTGAGTTCTAGAGTGTTGCCAAAATAAAAATACATGATTTTCTTAAACTGTGATTTAAACAATAAGCTTTTTATTTGTTTTTTATGGTTTTGTTGTTGTTGTTGTTCAATGGAGCACAGATTTAAGTTACCAATTGTTGCATTGTTCCACTACTCATCAAAAGCTCATCAGCAAGACCCAGAACACTTGTCAGAGACAAGGAACATTTTTTAGGGCTGTATCAAGCAGCACTTGTATTTGTTGATTGCATAGCAGCAATAAAATGAATAAAAATCAGAAATACATTCACCTAAAGATTAGAATTTTTTTCTTAAGCTGTCTGAGTAAATGTCTACAAGATTATGCCATTGGTTTCAAAGGATTCTGTTGGTTTAATAATGTGGTTTCCGGCTGCTCCCCACTATTCACAAGCAATAATGGGCATTTCCAAAGAAGAGTGGAAACTTGAAAGAGAGCAGTCATCTGACATTCTTAAAATACTTTTTATATGTAGAGAGCAAATGAAAATCTATGACTCATGATGGGATAAACTGTAAACTGAGAAAACAGGAGGCTTTTCTTGCCAGCAAGGGGAAGACAGTTTATTATCCCAGCCTTCAAAGCAGTGGTTTGAATTCAAGTTTAATTTTGCTTCTCTTGGATAATTCTAATGTGTTTAACTTACTGATGCTCCCAGGTGCCCCTTTTCCCACTGAGATACAGTTGTTGGTGAGTTTAGCCTGGCAGCTCATTATCCTTCTTTTTATTAGTCTTCCCTTTCTCCTTATTACTAAAAAGAATTGCTGTGTTGTGTGTTAAACAGTGTGTGGGAAACTCTTAATATACCTCTCAGTTAGTCACCAGCTTGTTTCCTTTGCCAGAATTACCCACACAGCAGGTTTTCAAAGGTCATATCTGTGACTTTCAGGGGAAGACACATATTTTCATTGATTTCCCTTTCGGCTGTGCTAATTTGACTCACATTTAACCCGTACTTAACAGGTTCATGAATGGCCTAATTATGTTTCTATTTTTTTTTAATCCAGTCTTAAACATGAGAGTAAAAATCTTATAAGATGTCAGACTTTGAAGAATTTTTAAGGCCTTATTGGTTCATAGCAGGTTTGTTGATATTAACTGACTCATTAATGAAATTGTCTGAAATGTAAAAAGACAGAAAAAGCAAACAAGAGAACTCACTATTTCTATTTATTTTAAGAAGAACATATACTGGATTCCTAATGGGAAATAAAATATATTTAGACTATTACACCTTTTATTGATACATTAATCAAGACCTTAGTGAAAAATATGGTTGGGTATTTCTTAGTTAAAATTGCCCATGTTGCACTAATAGACATCTTAATAACTATGGAAGTATCCAGAATAAATAGGGAAAGGACAGCATCCTAAGTGGGAGTATTTCTAAGCGTTATACTTTGATGAAAAAAGGAAATCCCCTATATTAAAAGAGTCCACAGTATCAAAATTAACTATCAAAATATAGTTTTTTTCTACAGATACACTGTCCCAGTGAATTTTCAATACTAATTGCTGAACTCCTTCCATTAAGATAGTGAGGTCTGTCCCCAAGATCAACTTTTGGAGGGTTATCATGGTGGGATCAGTGCTGCTCGAAGCCAAAACAATACAAAGAGTTTTGGTCCCTGAAAGCAATTTCATATTACTGAATAGCAATACCTAGCTCATTGAGTAAGTGAAATAGATATAAAAGACCTGGTACCAAAAACATTGCAAGTGCCCAATCAACTATGATAGCTATTGTTGGTGTAGACACGACTGCTGCGGAAGTTAAATGAAAGCACCTTTAATACAAAAGGAACAAAAAAAAATGCTGAGTGCTTTGATGCAGACCCATGGAACACAGAAAAGGCTTGGGAATTGGAGGTTGTGATGAAAAGATGCCCTGGGTTCTGATGTGGCCACTAAAGTTGCATTGATGGCAGAAAATGGAAGAGGGAAATGACTGTAGTAGCTGAGGCACTGAGAGCTACTGGAAAAGGAGTTCTTCTGATTGCTGGGCGGAGCTCCACTTATTATCACTTTCTATTGTTATTTTTCTCATTGAATGTTTCAGATTTATTCTGAAATAATTTAAGAGTGGGTTTTCCTGGGCTTATTTTGTTATTAAATCCTTCCTGTTATTATTTTTCTCCCTTTGATTTGCTTTAGATTTATTCTGATGTAACTTAAGGTCAGGTTTTCCTGGAGTAACTTTTTCTGGTAATAACCTTGAAGGCCAGTTTGTCCTCTTTCTATTTACTGCTATTACTATAATGAAGATAGTGTTATGGGGTTTTATTTTTAAAAGATGCATACAGCAGCAGATAGTATAAATCTACTCTTGAGTAAGCATCTGAATATAGACTTCACCTAAGACCATGTGCTTGAAGTGAGTATGTCAGGCATGTCGAAGAATTTTATGTCAGCCAGAATTAGTCCAAGAATTCATGCTGAAAAATCTCATAGTCTTTCTAGAAGCAAACCATATAGATGTTTCTATGTATAAAATGTAGTATACTGTGCACTCAACATGTTGTACATCCCAAATACATGCCTTGAGATTCATCCGTCTGTAAAATCTAAGGGTAAGAAATTGTGTAAATTTGTGGAATAAACAATGATACTCTTGTCCTGATAGTACCAGGACCCTTCAGAGAATCAACTCTCCTTACATTGGGCTTACTAATACAAAATGTTTCTGCAACATCATCTAAGCTGATGTTTTTGAATTAATGCTGGCGTATTAAAGTTAATAATTACTTCTTACTACCAAAGCATTATCTGATGGTATCAAAATGTTACTTGGCCATTAAAGGATCAACACACTAGCTCCTAACTATTCAAGAATATGATCAGTTACCAAGAAAAACAGAGACACACACACCCCAGCCTCAACCCACTGAAACATCCAAGCTATTATGAGCATCTGTAAGTCCCATGCCTACCTTATTGGCATGCATTTGTGATGTATATTATCGTATGCCTCTTTGGGGAACTCTTTCCTAATGAGAAATCTAAAGTAGCACTGATGACAGAATATTTCTTCAATAATGTCATCTCACACATGCCTCTGGACACTTTTTCTCAGTGATTATTATTCTATAAGCATTGAGCATAGGCTGTTTTGAAAAAATAGAACTGGTGTCAAGAGACCTGGGTTCTGGCCCTAACATTATGATTTAATGTAGGTATATTATTAAGCAGTCATTAACATCTCTGTAAAATTGAGATATCACCCAAACACAAAGTTGCTATCTATCTAAAATGAGATTAGGACATGTAGATGTGCTTTATCAAGTACTAAGCAAATATTAGTCATTACTGTTGTTACACCACCAGTCTGAAAGAACAAGATGGAATGCTAATGCCCTGAGCTGCTTGCCACAGCAAAGCCCAAATTTTATGATGCCACCACCATAGGAGATTCTAATGTTTGAAGATGGAAAAGCTTTCTGACCTACTAGTTCAAGGTGACTAAATTTCAAAATTGACTGCACAATTTCTGTGACCACCTACTATCTGATCCTAGGTGAATCACCCTTCCTTAAAAGACTTCCTTATGGGCTGAGCATGGTGGTTCATGCTGCTAATCCCAGCACTTTGGGAGGCTAAGG